GAGACCATTTGTTCTGTCTTGGATCGTATCTTTCTACCGTATTGAGAGGTGACTGTCCATCAGACCCGCCGATGGCATATAAATAACCTCCAAGCACAGCAACCGCTACTCCCAATCTTCTAGTAGTCATTGGCGACACTTTAGACCATTTATTTTCTTTTGGATCATATCTGTGGAGTTATACGTGTAACGTTATGCTATAAGCAAATTATTTATATTAGTACTATATTTATCGGAAAATTATTAATATGCTTGCCTTTCCACATGATTAAGGCATTGTACTCCATCCTGACCACCAACCGCATATAGAAATCCATCCAGCACAGCTACACCTACACTAGTCCTGCAGGAAGTAGTAGGAGCAACATCGCAAGACCACTGATTTGTTTGTGGATCATATCGCTCGATACTATTCAAATAGCTTTGTCCATCGTGTCCGCCAACCGCGTATAATAAATCATTTAACACTGCTACACCTACTCCACATCTCCGTTTGCTCATCGGCGCAACCATTTTCCAATCAGCAGTGTTAGGATCAAATCTCTCGACACTAGCGATAGCGTCACCCGAACACCACCCACCAACGGCAAACAATACCTCTCCTCGTCTCGTGGGTTTCCTGGGTCTCGTTCTAGGTCCCTGCATCAATGGTCTCTCTTGTGGCAAAAGTAAATAATTCTTCGCTTCATCCACAAGATCTCTGCAAGCGTCGTCAGAACGAACCAACAGATCCGATCCGACAGTACCAACTAAAAATTTTGGACTAAGTAACGGCAGTCGAACATGTTGTAGAACTTGAGCCAGATGTTGTCGCCTTTCCGTGACATTATATTTTACCCAATTCATCACGGCGCTAAAAACCTGCTCTTCCGTACGTACATTTAACTCATCTGATGAAATAATGTCTACTAGTTGGCTGACGGGTAATAACAAAAATTCCTCGCTCTCCATTACCTATGAAAATTAAAATAAACCTATGAGAATTAAGTAAAATAAAAATAATAAATGTTAAATCGAAAAGTTAGTTAATTTATTTCTCATTGAATATACCTCTTGGAAATTATGTTGAGTAAATTTATCAGCGATACGCAAAAGTTCGCGGCACGAATGGGTATCTGCGAATGCTCGGATACCCAAGCAATTTGATGGATCTAATTGGCGTTTGAGAAATTCGCAACATATATCTTGAATTTCTGCTAATTGAAGAAGGCACGCTGCTGGAAGGAGAGTTTGAACATTTGCTTCTTCGACAATAATGTGAGAAGTATAACAAAAGTCTATAAGTAACTCCATAGCCATTTCATCTATGTCACGTATCGTTACTTCAGTCTGTCTAGATTCCGCCAGCTCCCCAGTAAACATTGCCCTGAAAGAACATAGAATTTATTTGTAAGCTAATACAATTGTATGATATTTGAGTTAAAAATAATCATGTAATTATACCTGAAATATGGACTACATGCTGAAAGGATGACACGATGCGCGAATATTTTTCTGGAACCAACATTGAGAACAACATCGCACAGTTCCCGATGACGGCGAAGAACATTAAGCTCAGTTAGTGTTGCACGAGGATGCTTCTCAGAGGTATGACTAAGACGTGCCGGGGATGGTGCACGTTCTACAACTATTTCACCCATCCTCTGCGAGGATGGGGCACCTGTAGCCACTCTCCCCGAGGCGCCCCTGGTCCCCCCAGCTAGCTGGAGGCGCAATGGGGGTGACGCCCAGCCCCACACGGAATCTATCTGCAACACCATTCACCAACCACTGCAGGTCTCAAATGTGCCTGCAGATCCCCTAATGTTGTGATCTCCCTATAGTAACAACATGATTTATAAGTAATGTCATATGAAATATACATTTTTAAGTAAATAAATCAGATATAAATTTTTTAAAATGAGTAAAAAGAGATTCTTTATCATATACCAAACAGAACCTTGCTGTCTTATCACTTTTTTGTGCTTTTAACATATTATATATATTTCCAAGCATATATTAACTCTACACATTCAAACTTCAACAAATATAAAGAAAGATGTGGATCTTCCCAGAATTAAAATCCCAGAAAAAATAGACAACAATGTGTGAGAGATTAAATTATGTCGCGATCATAATTGGAGCAAGCTGCGAATAGCTTGTAAATATCAACACAAACTTCATGCAATATCGTAGGAGTACTCTCGCACCTTGTCATAAACAAAATCACGAGGCACGCAGGTATAAGGAATAGATAATAATAAATAAACCGCAGGAACACACATTTCGTCTGCAAAGAATACGCAGCTGATCGACAATTTATAATACTCACTTTCGTTCGCTTTCCTCGTAACCGCCAGGCAATATCAATGAGAAAAAGAGAAAAGGAGAATTGTCAGAAAGCTGTGCTCGCGCGAACGCGATTCTGACTTGACGTAGCGTTATAGCATCAGTGCGATTGTCCTATCGAATAACATGGCATAACATCCGAACATCGATGCTTACTGTTTACGCTTTCTGTCGTAGTTAAAACGCTATCGCACACTTGCGCATTGCACTGCGAGCTATCATGAGGGTGCTCTCATTTTGACGGTTTTCCGTGGTGATTGTCACATCACGACACGAATATATACCCCGAGTATACCTCAACCGTTCATGAACTTACAAATTCAAGTCGAGTTATCACAGGGTACAAACTATAGATATGAAATACGTAGACCGAGCTTTTGCACGAGAAGTAGCTGATAATTATTGTAAGAGAGGCATTCATCTGATTTTCGATTGTTTTCGTAAGCATTCGGATATGTTCGGCTTTCCGTGGCTGCTATATGTAATCGGTAATTCGCAATCTATTATTCGTAAAAATGTTCAAAATTAATAACGCTTTCGATTGCAGTGGGCTTTGGTCTGGGTTATGACGTCGTAGTACACTTCCTACACTCGCTTTTCTCATTTTTCCAACGCTCGCATCATAGATCACGTTCTAGAACATTAGGATCGCTTTTATCAATTTTTGGACAAGTTAATTAATTAAATTAATTCGATCATTATTTTCCAAAAACTAGATAGCATTTTATCAGAAGGGAAATGTTTTCATAATTTATATTTGGTTGCCATTCTACAATGCGCTGCAAACTCCCGTCACTAGTTGCGAAAGATGGCGACTATCGGCGACTACTAGTTACAAAGTACTATTTCCGGTTGCGATCACTAATTGCTGTGGTGCTTCCCAGCAACACAGTTGACACGGTGTAACACAGTGTCGCTCTATGTGTTTTCCTACTACGGCACGATCATAGGCATAGGAAAATACAGGGACCGAGCATATCGGGGGGGGGGAAGCCAGTGTGGGAGGAAGCGGAAGTAAAATTCGCCATATTACTGTGCCCGTTTCTTATTTGCTATCATTCTGCGCAAGCGTCATAAAATCAGAATATCATCTGTGCAGCAAAGGGTGATAAGAAATCAAACAGCAGTACATGCAATTTATGGGAAGATTAAAATATACGTTGTAAAATAAAAAATTTTAAGACGTAGCATTGCAATAAATATTTAAAAAGCGTATGCTAGTGATAGCATAAGTAAACATTAGTCGTTAATCGAGATCGCAGTAAACATTTTCGAAAATTGCCAATAGATGTCGGTTTATGCACTGAAAGCTATGGTGAATAAAATTAATTTTTTATATCATCATTATTGATCATAAATTTATTAATATAGTTGTTCATTAGATCAAACAACGTTTATTATAAAACTTTTTTGTAATTATTTGTAAAATAAAATTTTAGGAAAACGATATTAAATAAAATTACAGAAAGAAGAAGGCAATTTTTCGTATATTTTTCGTATTTTTATCATAAAATAATTATCATGTGTAGTAAATAAAAAAATGTATATGGTGCTGTTTATAAAAGTAGCATATACTATATTTTACATTAAATTTTATGTTGCATATATATTAAAAAAATTTAAAAGAGATTATTTGGTGTCTGTGATCCTATCAAATATTGTTACTTACTGTATTCTTTTATACACATCTTCTCGACTTATTACATTGAATTAAATTAACGATATTCAATTGTGCAACAATATATTCGATATTGTTATTTATCGGTTTATTATAGATTGACTATAATCCAGTCATTTTTGTAATCATTATCTCTTGTAAAAGTTCGGTTTTCCAGTCTAGTCATTCATTGTAAAAAGCATTAAAATTTGTCGATAGACTTAGCAAATTTCAATAAATTTGTGTTATTTATTATTGTAGCATTATAAATGTATACATAAACGCGTTTGCTCTGTACATAGTCGCGGTAAATGCAGGTGGTTCTTTTGCAGTGCCACCTGTGCGGTGCGTTTCATCTTCGCACATACTTTCCCGTTGCGGTCCCGCAGAAAAAACTTTTAAACGAACATTACGGATGTCGTCGGTAACAGTTCACATTTTACAGTTGTAACATTTGTGAATCGCCTTCTATATCGTCACTCTTATGAATAAAATCGATCAGGACAGATTATCTTTTAATTAAATAAAAGAGATATCAGTCATTAGAAAAAAGCAACTTGTAAGTTTATTTGGCCTGAGAATAATTATTTTTCATCAGTTATATACATTACAAGACCGGATTAAATATTTATGTAAAATTATTACATATGTTTAAACATTTACGAACAATTCTTACGTGATATTTTTTTTATAACGCATGTATTACGATTGCGTTTGAAGAAATGTAACGATGTGCGATTCGCTATAAAAATGTGATATGCGCCGGTAATCTGGCATATTCGGTGAAAAGCAAACTAATTTCTTTTATCGAAAGCCTCGCGATGACACAAGTACGAGCCATCTGTCTTTGCTTACGTCACTAAATGAGCAGATTATTACAAAGAGGTATTGATTTATCGCGTGGGAACATTCGATATCCTTTTGCCGATATATTTGCACCATATGTTAATTAATAGCATATGGTAAGTTGTCGAATGCTCTTCACACATGTGTGAAAAAAATTTCTTATTTTAAGACAGATTTTATAAATTTCTTGTTTGAAATAATATTGATTCGTATTAGCATTTAAATAATAGGTATCACATATAACGCTCAGAAATTGAAGTATCATATCGTATATTTATAAGATTACTTTCGACGAATTAACGATTAGAAAAAAAAATCACTAACACCTCACTTGCAACATTATCAACATTTTGACGTTAGGATACTTATTATCTCTTTCATTTTTACATTACATTATATATACGGTGATTCTCTGCGGCGTATGATAAGAATCGATCAAATTGATTGGTACGCACGCTTCTTGAAAATCTCCGATATTAAAGTGTATTTCCGCCTTGTTAATTCAGCCTTGATGAAGCGCGGTGTATTTCTCTTTCACTGAGTATTTTACCGGCTCCTCCGTGACCTCGTCGCAGGTATGTATTCATACGGCCCATAGCGACGACGTGCATGTGGGTTCATTTGCATAAGAAGCGGAACGCGACGCGTTGTCGGTCGAATGGACCGGGATTACAAATGGGTTTCCGCGCCACTCGATTGACGTGGCGCGCGGTATCTCGCGTTTACTTCCCCCCCCCCTCCCCCGTAAGAGATTTGTCAAAGAGCACGTAAACCAGAGTCCCAGGCCGCGTCATTCTGCACATCGGGCGTTACAAATTCGGCCGTAAACGGCGGCCGCGTAACGAAAAGTTTCCTCCTTTCGGACGTAATTCTCGATCTAATCACACACGGGGCTCGTCCTCCCCGCAGCTGTATCAACCGTTCGAACAAAGCCGTTCAAATTAAACTTCCCACGATGACACGCACTCCACACGGCTCCTAATATCAATAAAGAAATTTATTCAAAGTCCTTGTTTCGTAGATGCGATAGGAGGCATAAATAGATTCCTGCATACAGAAGCGAATATTTAGCATTATCGAAATGGAACAGGACACGAAGGGACACTGAATTAATGCACCAGAATGATAAACGAAGATATGTAACGTAAATCAGATGTGCGGATCTGGTCAGCGATTATGTAAATTCTCCTTTATTCCTCTTTTATATCTTAAATCTTTGTTGTGATTTATCTTCCTGGTCAATCCTTACTGAACATGGTAGATAAGTTAAAGTTTTATTTAAAAAGAAAAAGAAAATGAGAAAGCCATGCATGATATAAAAACACATACATTTGAAGTTAAAATAATTGATCTTAAGTTGAATATTAAATCATAAACGAATCTTTTCATTTTGTTTTTCTTATTGATTTTACATGAATTGTACTTTATGATACAACTTTTAATTTAATTTATGCAAAGATATCGAAAGCTTTAACGACAGAAAAAAAAACAATATCTAATTCGTTAGAAAGATATAACAGATAGATCATTGCAAACATAGTTGATGACATTTGTCAATGTTATTTGAAATCACCGTATCACACACGTGTTGTTATTTCGAGGCAATATCAAGGATTCCGATAATATAGCAGAGTCGTTCCGCCATCATGTCAGCCTGAACAGTCTCTTCACCTGCGCAGCATATGGCGGCAGAATATGCAAGTCGGGGGATGTTGAGGGATGCCTATCAGAGGGGTGGATAGGTTTTTGGCCGTTGGTGGGGCAGACGAGCCGCGATGCTTCGACGCCGGTTAATTTGTTGTTCATCCACGTGACCCACTGCTTTCGGGGGGCATTGCGTTCGGTGCCTACTTCCGGTACTTGACCCTTCTAGAGGGGGTCACGCACCGTTGGTCCTCCACCTTTGATCCATCTCTCTTCAACTTTTGGATATTGCCGGAATTTCTCGTTTCAACCACGGCGACGCCTCGATTCGCCGAAGCGTGCTAAACACCACCCAAATCCCTGGGGTGATTCACCCTCTGCTAACGCGAACACGGGTGAATCTTCGGACGATCTGGACGGCTGTTATTGTAGCAATGTTGTCGATGATTGCTTTGGTTCCCAGGCATATGCGTTGCTTAATGCCTGAACCTGAATTGATGCGATAATAATGATAATGCAATCGGAAAAAATTGATTAATTTCTTAGCATCGATGTTACGTATATACTTTTATTATATTATTTTATTTAATATTTCATTTTATAACTAATATTTAATTAGAATATAACACGTAAGTAAGTGGCTATTATCTATGCTTATTTTTATGTATGTAGACATATAAAATAGATAAAACTATTATATTTTTTATCCGAAAAAACATATGCAATCGCTAATTTCAATTATTCCATCGTTATTAATTTTAATGCGTCGAAAACAAAATATATAAAACATTGTGATTCAAAATTATCTTATTACGCATTCTCTTGTTTTTAATATCATATTATATACTATTAGAATTATTTAGAAACGATGTGAATGTCAAGAAAATGAAACTGTTAAAAGTATGTCAAAAATGGTGAAACGGGATGAAGACGAAGCGAAGGCAGCACTTTCATATTGAAACGATGTATCTCTTATTACATGTATACATCATATTTATTATAATATCGCAGAATTTCCATCAAATAAGAACAAAGTATCGGCTTTACTCATGCTCACGCGTTGAAGTCTCGCGCAACCACATTTAAAAACTGACCAACGTACAAGATAAATGGGCTACCAAGTTGATATCACCTGCTTCTCTCAGCCATTTTAATTTGTCACCACACTGCCATCGTCAGAGAAGATAAAGGAGTACCAACTTTCTCTGTCTTCTTTTCTGACACGTTGGCATTACATCTCTCCATTATGTCTTTTCAAAGTTTCCAAATTCATCAATCGTTCGGTTAATCACGTACCGTTGAAAGATTAACGATAATATGACACGACACTGCGATTTAATATATAATCAATTATAACTTTTTTTTTCAACATGTATGATGAGATGAAAGAAAACACATAATATATTCTAGATCTTGTTAACGAAATAAAGCTTATTATTATTTATAAATTTAATATGGAGGAAACTTAAATTTATTAAATTTAAGTTTATTTAAGCGAAAAATAGAAATCAGAAAATAAATTTAAAAAATATAATAGAATAATTAAAAAATTTAATATTTTTCTTAAAAAATTGCAAAAGTTTGGAAAATATACCGTTTAATATTTAGCTTTATATATAAATGAAGATAAAATAAAGGCAATAGACAATGTAACAATATTGTAAACAATATTGTTGCATTTGCCGATGATATCACTTTAATTATTCATTTAGAGAAAATAA